AAATATTGTGCATATAATTACTTATTAGCATAATTAGTAATTTCAGCTTTTCACTGATATCTCAAGTACTAATCATCACATTTCAATGAGACTTGCGACATTTTTTCTAGGACTATGCAGAGACTGATTAATTTTGGGATAAATAATTGTGCCTATTAATTACATAATTTGCATAATTAGTTAATTTTTTGCTGTTCTATGGCTGTTGCACTGATGTCTAAAAACCACTCATTGGATTTCAATGAAACTTTTAAAGAGTACCCATCACATTTCAATGAACCTCAGACCATGCACCATATTAGTTTTTGGTAAATATTTATGCTTCTTAATCACCTAATTAACATAATTAATTAATACTGATATCTCAAGTATTGATCATCGCATTTGAATAAAACTTGGTACATAAATGCTCTAGGACAATAGACAGCCTGATTAATTTTAGGTTAAAATCTGTTCATATTAATTCGCTAATTAGCATAATAATTATTATATAAATATAATTATTTTTTTGGTTCTCATCACATTTCAATGAAACTTGGTACATTGTGCAGACCTTTAGTTTTACACTTAAATCTGTTCATATTAGTTACCTTATTTGGATAATTAGTTTTCAGCTATTCCATCAATATCTCAAGTATAAGTAATTTTTAATTAATTTTTAATGTGTCTCCAAAACTCTCAGCACACGGGAGTTCTTTCTAAGCTTTCTTTGATTTCAATATTTTTTTTAGTTTCTAATAGTCAAACCCTTATTCAACCAGATACATGAAAGAAAAGGTTTAATATTGGCTATGTGAGAAGTGCTTCATTTCTGGAATTATTGCTTTATTTATTTTTTTGTTTCCTAACGAATACATCACATTATAGAAAGTGATGGTCACTTATTTTTTGGGGGATGTCTGCATATAATGCATGTGTTAATATCTAAAAACTGGTGAGTATGAGAAATGGTTTACGTGATATTTATTGAATATTAAGCTTTGCTGAAAGAAAGAGAAAAGTTATTAAAATTGTTACATAATGTGCCCTGTTGCCATGATTTAATGAGAACTGCCTAAATATTTACGGTTGTTCTCAAAGTCTGTACATTGAGTGAAGTTCTGAGTGTAAGAAATCTCTACTTAGCTAAGGTACCTGTTAAAGAGCCAGATAGACGCACCCAAACTTTATGGTCTTGAGATGCTTTCAGTTTTTACTCATTAACCTTTTGAACTTCAGTTACTTTATAGAAAGATACAACAAATTTTGATCAAGATCGGTAACCAATGGGCGGATTTTGTCCAAAATTAATGAAAAAAAAAAATTGTCAAATGTTGATATGAAAAAAAAAATAATTTCATTTACGAACGTACAATATCACTGAAATTTGTTTTCCACCAATCAATTGTTGATGAACAATCACAAACCTGTTCTTTGTTTTTGAGAAGTTTTTATTGGTTGGTAGAAAAACAACGGAGCATTTGCAATTATTTCGTTGATGCCCATGTGACCTGAAGCCCTTCATGTGATTGGCTGAGCTCACTCATGTTGGACTTAATCCGCTAAAGGTATGTCTTTTCACACTGCTCATGTTGATTGACTGATTAGATTCAACCTCTATTGAAATTTAAAAAAAAAACAAGAGCACAGCTTTGTGGTCGTGACAGTAACTGAAAATTAACCCCTACATTTTTATTTTGTATTTTATTCCCATTTCCCAGTCCATCAAGGTCAAATCAAGTTGGTGGGGTGTCAGAGCTTCGTTTTTTCACTAGGATTTTATGACATTTCATAAAGGGTCGACCATTAGAACTGCAGGGAATAGTATGTTTCAGATGCAAAAAGAAATATTCTACAGCATGAATGAAAATAAATTCAATTTATAATACAAGCACATATTGATACCAGGTAAAAGAGCGGAAAACAAATTTAAAGCATCATCTCTCCTTGAGTCTTCGTGATCAATCTCTCATTTTCCAAGATGCAGAATATTTTGTAAGATTATTTAAGTAATGAGACCTTTCCACTTGCTCCATGTGAAACAAGATGCAGGTGTTGATTCAGATTTTAGATAACAAATTCTGCTCTAATACCAAATAAAGTTGTACCATAAAATATTGTATTTCAAAAATGTGGCCATGTTTTTTTAATGATGAAAACTGCCTAATATATTCCATTTGTCCAAAATAAGAAAAAGTTGTATGCCTGTATATTGACTAGATAGTTCTAGCATGCATTAAATACTACTGATATGATCATATTGTATATTTCATTTTTACTGAAATATAACTATTCTTTGGAATAATTTTTCCAATGTGTAATTATTGTAATATAATTACAGGGTTTGATACTTATTTTGTATTCAACTGTTCTGCAAACGCATAAGTAACAGCTCCCTCTACAATTAGTTGGGCGCCCTCTGGTGCAGTAGAGTCAGTTTGCGCTGATCAGGGGTGTATAATTGTATCTATGTCACATTCAACTGATTTTTATTTAATGATGCAAGGACATAAAAAACATGCGTAAATGACACTAATCATGATGACTTTGGTGCTGAGATCTACTGGGTAGACCATTAGACAAGTGGTGGTTAGTAGATATGGTATGGTATATGATCGTCACAATATATTTTAGACGCATTGTATATGTCGCTATGAGTCCCATATTGAACAGGACGCGGCACGACGCCTGTCGGCCTTTAGATCTGCACGAAAAAGAAAAAAAAAACTTCTGATAGACAAAACAAAAAATAAAATTTACATGAACATTATCCTAAAAAAAAAAAAATAGTTTTTCTATCACTCCCCCTCCCAGAAATTTTTTCAATCAGGTTGTCATTGTGTTTCTATGGAGCATACTGTTTTTAGGCACTTAGTGTTATAGTTACAGTCTTGATCACATGACCAGGGCACCTTTTATTCAGCCCAGCATCCCTGTGCAGACACAAGCACTAATGAAAGTTAAATCTAAATTTATAGCATTATATTGGTACTTCAAGGTCAACTTTGCCACTTTTCACAAAATAAACCTTCATAATTGTTTCCATCTTTTTTTTTATGTTGACCAAGAAAATATGTTCACCTGGTCTCAAATTAACAAAGAAATTGTAGTAAAAATGATTAAAATGTTGTACTAAATTTTGGCCGGGGAAAATGCCATTTAAAGGTCAACTTGACATTTGATATTTGTCTCTACAGTCACCGGGTGAGTATGTGTACATATAAAAACAATATGACTGATCAGAGGCGGTGGCCTGAAATTTTGCACGGGGGGCGAGATCTGCTCACCAACCTTGTGCCGAAGGCATGACCTTACTTGGGGGTCCGAGGGCATGCTCCCCCTTAAAAATTTGGAAATATAGACCTCTGAAATGCTATTTCCTGCATTTTGAGGGACAGATTTTGCTGACACAAAGTCAGTTTTTGGAGGGGGGACACCACCCCCTCTGCCCCCCTTGTGCCCTCACCCCTGCTAATAACATTGTGGTATTTATCATTTATGTAAAATAGTAAGAAATCTCTGACCATTTCTGTTTTGCTAATATTATATTTGATACCAATATTAATTAAGTGCATAGTTTATTAGTTAATGTGTATGTGTAGTTTATCCAGGACAGGAGCAAATCAGTTTGACCTTTTACTCGTACATCAAATATCTACATCCAAAAAAAAATATTTGTTTCTGGTCATTGCACACGTCAGTTAAAAATCAATGCTTTACAACTTTTTAAGGTCAGAATTTAAGAATAAAAGCAAAAGAAATAATTCAATTTTCATGTGAAATAAAAACTTGTGTTTCCTAATGACAATTTTTAAAATAAATTTGTGTGCTGACATGGCATTTGGAAAACAAACCTGAAACTTGTTGTTCATACATGTTCATGGACAAAGAATTAAATGTTCTCACTTTGTATTATATTTAGAGCCCCTCGCAATGAATATTGTGTTCACTATGAAAAATTAAAAAATAAGTTGGTAGGTTATAAATCCTGAGTTATTGGAGTACTGAAACTAGATTCCACTGTAGGCTGCTGTGTTAAATCACCAAATCAAATGTTATCACTCAAAGTCATTTTTTTTCTAATGATTGAATTTCAGGAATCTGTTGTTGGATAAGCTTTCTCATGAATTGATAAAAGTCCAACAGAGAATTATGAATCACAACTTTTAGGGAGTTCAGATTTCATCTGTCAATATTTAAAAAAATAATTTCACTATAGAATTCATAATAAAAGAAAAAAAGTACAATGTTTTTTAAGAATTGAATCACACTTTGTTTTCTTGTTTTGCATGCTGGTTTGGTCTGATACTATTAAAATATGAAGAAAATAACACTTTATAATTTGTTGCAAACCTACCTACCCCAATGTTAGATTTTCAGGGTCATTGCTTGATCTTTTGGTAGCATTAATTTGTTCGACACTACTAAATACACACTATTTGAAACTTGGCAAATATTACATTACTCATTATTGTCATTGTTTATTGGCCTATAATGTATTGTAAATATGCTAAAAAATAATGTATCCCCATTGCCTTTTTAATAATTACAACAGTTTACGCTAAAATTACTTTGCAATTGTATTGCTGATTTTATTTTCTGGTAAAAACAATGACTTTAAAAGCTTCAATAGCTGACGTGTGTGGCGTCTTTATAACTTGGAAGAAAGGGTGAAAAGGTTAAGCGGAACTCGTCAGTTAGAATTGTGGGTAATGCCACGTACACATCATCTACGCATGCGCCAAATCGTTGGGATTTCCGGATAATTTGCATACGTTTGTGCATCACATAAATTCATCAGAAGGCTTCCCTTAAAAAAAGGTGGGAATAATAAAATCCGTCACGGAAACGTATAATTTGCAGATTAATTCTCGGATGCGACAAACGTTTTCGTCTGCACTTCGCTATAAGATAATATTTCAAGGTCATACGATCGAGCAACCTCAACATGGCGGACTCTCACAGTTCGCATCCACCCTATCAAACTGGTTTTGTTCCTCCGACAGCAGGACCCCCTGGCGGGGGATCTGGCATAAATACCGCGCCTAACCAACCAGGTAAGTGTCTTAGATACAATATAATCGTTGATGTGTTCTAAAACATGGAAATGTTTGTAAAATCAAGTCAGATCTTGAAACAGTCTGGCTGAGTCACGCGTTGGATTTCGTCTATAGCGTGTTAGGTCCAGCTGATATGACAATGACAGTATTAGTTTAATAGTAATCTCTCGTATCTGCCTTTTGGATATCTTTAAAAACACGATATCTATTTCGGGATAGCAAAATATTCTTGAAAATTAATACACATATATTCGCATAGTCATACTACGACCAGGTGTGTTATGGCGACGTGTCAGTTAACGTTGCAAAACAAAGCGTGCTGAACTTCAAGACGTGGAAGTAAAGACGTGTACATCTTAGACAAGTTGTCTACTTGTACAAGTATTTACATTTCCGTGATCGAAATCTGCTTTTTTTTTTATCATTTGAAAACTGAAAAAATGCCACAGTTACAAATAATGCATGCATGTAAAAATGATGTTACAACTATTCTTCATGTCTTTCACTTTCTTACAAAAAATAATAATTGTAATTAACTGTATTTTGTGTTTGCATAACAATAACAATAAATATTTTAGACTAATAATTATGATAATTATATTGTCCAGTGACACCTACTGATCTTTTGACATTCATGAGGTCAAAGTTTATACATGTATCAACCTTTTCCTGTGACGATATTCTGAAATCGTCCTCATTTCAGATCATAACTTTCCTAAACACTGTAAACAAATGCCTGCATTCAATCCTAAAATAGGAATATACATAGTTAAGAGTAGAAGTAAAGTAAATTAGTCATTTGTATTTCACATACTGAAGTTTTTCGTAGGCATCCAGTGTGAAAAGTTTGATGTCTGTCCACAGACGAGAATAGAATATAGAACACTTGAATAAATGCATGATGATGAATAATGTGGGTTCCATCCATCTGTCTACACAGTACCAATCAGTGTACATATAAAACCATTGTGTAATGTATCTTGTGAATCTATTAATGTAACACGCATTACCCTTTACATAGAGACTACATGTACAATGTATGATGCATACATGTACAATGTAGTCCACTTGAATATTCTAAAGTGTTTGAAAGGAAGTTAAACAAATTTTCATGAATTTTGCGAGGAATTTTGTACCACTAAAAGTTACTCTTGTGTTCTGAACACTCGGTGGTCGGGGTCAGAGCAGCTTTCACAAAATGTTGTCTTCATGAACGCCATTACATCATGAAAATATAGCTTTTAATTTGCATACTGCAGATGTATCTTTATCAAATTCGAAGGTCTTGTGTTGCTAGACCATTATGTGTCATTTCGCCAATCTTGTAAGCTTATGCAGGTCTGTATACTTCTGGTTGCAATGTGTGTGAAGTTGCTTGCAGAGATTTCACCAGCTTCAGTTATGTATAATCTGGTATTTTTAGTGCATTTCAAGACGTATCTAAAAGCAGACAACCAAGAAAAATGTATTAAATTTGTTGAAAAAACTGCAATAAAGTTTTGTCATCTCCCTCTACCTTCCTTCCTATTGTGCATTAATTGAACACTATTAATTGAGTGTATTACAATGTGGGATTACCGGATATGTAAATAGTCTGTATATTTTTGCTTGTTTTTCAGGACCACCAGGTTCTACATCACCCAGACAGGCAGGTGGTTACAATGTGCCGCCAAATGCAATGTATCAAGGACCCCCATCATCTGCTGGAATGTCTTATTCTGGGCAAGGGCAAGGTCAATATGGTATGATGGGACCACCTCCACCTTCTGCAATGCAACATAACCAAGTGAGGTATCAGTCACCAACTAACCAGGGCCCACCTCAAGGATATGAACAGTCAACCCCAACTGGAAACATTGGAAAATTACCAGGATCAGGTCCTGTACCTGCAATTTCCCAGCCATACAGTTCTGCAGCCCAGCCTAGCCCAAATGCCTCCCAAACACAGATACCCCCAGTGTCCTACACATCAGCTCCCCCAAGCTCACAAGTTCCGAACTCCCAGAATTTACCTCCTCGACCACCTATTGCTAGGGTTACTGGGCCTGGGGGAGCGCCTCCACCTCTACCAGGCCAGCAATACCAACCATACAAACCAGGTATGGCACCACCTCCCACAAATCAACTAATCAGACAGAAACAACCAGCAACAACTTCTGGGCCCATGTCCGGTAAGTATATACATTGTACATGTATGTGTGCATGTCTCTTTCAATGAAAAAAAAAGTATGAATTGGTGTTATTAATTTAATCATTAAGAGTGCCCTGGTGTTGAAGGGTGTTGATACAAGGTGAGGATGTTTAAATCGCATATACGTCTGTATGTGAAAGATTTGAAACCCCCTACCTGACAGTAACCATGGCAGAATAATTATCTGAATTCCATTTCATTGAATTGTGTCCCTACCCATTATAATTGCATAATAATAATAATATAATTGAATAATTTCAATGGAAGGATATATTAGTGACATCTCATTGAATTGAATAAAGTGTTTTCATCAGTGTGCTCTGTGATAATACTTGTCTCAATCTTGGTTTTGAAGTCCTGTTAGCCACTATTTTGTAAACATACAGTTTAAGGTTTTATCTTCATTCAAAACTTTTGAGACGGCATCTTTGAAAACTCCTGTATTTTGAGAGTAGACAACTTGGATTCAACAATCAAATCAATGAAGTCATTTTATTTTGAATTTTGAATTGAACCATATCACACATTGTCTGTACCGGTAGTATTTAGTGTTTATGTTGATCTGCATTTACATTTTAACTGGACATTTCTTTGACACTTAAAAATAAAAACTTAATAATATCTCAACAATTGAGCGCATTGATGTAAATCACTAACATAATAATACCCATGATGTGGCAAAACTCTGCATGCCCCTTGCTATATTTGTTAATGCATGTAACAATGTTCTGTCTGCTTTGTACGTTTCCAGGGTCATCTTCATCGTCCGGTTTTGAATTACCACTTCCATTTCAGTGCACACTAACTGCTCCCAGTCCTTCACACAGCAATGTTCCTTCTCCATCTGGATCAGGTACTAAACTTTCCACATTTATAGCATGTGTATGTTACAGTAACATAGTTAATATGGTACTTTATTTTGTCTCATACCAAGCCATGTGATGAATTTTCAGCCTTGGCTGCAATCTAAGCTACAGAGTTCTTGCCATTCATAATTACTTTGCAAGCTATTACTAATATACATATCTTTTACATATAACAACTTAAGTCATTCCATTTATCTCTGGACAACCTTGGTTATTTTCACTGCTCTGTGTTTTATTTTCGGGAAAGCATGCTGCAGACTTACCATATGTGCTTTTTTAATTTCATTTACATGTACATCAACAATCTGTTTTAAAAAAAAAAGGCATTCATAAAGTAATCAGTATATTTAACATCCAACAAACATTCTTGCTTTTACTATGCTTCTACTGTATTTATCTGAAAGATTGCTCACAGCAAAAGATTGCCCATGGGAGATATTTCAGCACCTGGGCAATCTTTTGGTCGGAAAACATAACTACCTAGGTAGTAAAAATAATTTTCAAGAGCATGTATTAATAGTTTACGAATCATCATCAGCATGTTTAGCAAGAATCTCACTCGCACGACAATGTCTGGCTGATCACAGTCACTATATCACTGTAGTCCGATCGAGCTTTGTAGAAAGCACACAAGTCTTGCCATAAAATAATGCTTTGACATCCAAGTTACTCCCAAGATGGAAATTCAAAAAACTAGGTACTTTTGTTTTCCCAAAAACATATATAATTCAAGTTGGTTGTTAAATACAGTCAGAAATTCTAAATTGCGCAACCGAAGCTTTGTTGATCTGGCGAGTTACTCTCCTGACATCCATATATGATAGCGATGAACTTTTAGCAACATCACACTGAAGTCCTTTAAGCTCACAGACCGATTCTTTCTGATTCTATCCACAGTGACTGAAGAAATGTTGCGATTCATATGCATTGTTTCAAAGCATCTTTTTTTCTTGCCACACGTCTGTACTTACATTTATATCTTGAGTAAAAAAGCTACAGTTCACGTTTTGTTGAAATTGTAATGTTGCTGGTACGCTGTGTCGCGATCTCCGAGAGGGATCATTGGAGATGTCACATACATCGGAATGTCACGTTTTACAACACGTTTTTTTAATACAAATTTAAATCTTTCTTGAACACGGTAAACAGAATATGTTTATTATAATTTGTTGCGCGAATTAGAGGAGTCCGTGAAATAAAAGTATACAAGTGGATCGAATTACTGTACGAGAAAGCCAATCTGTGTTGATGCCAGGCGTGGACGTGAACACAATTGATTGTACAAAACAATGTTATTGTTGAGTGATGTTTTGGTACTGGTGATCCCCCAGAACATGACCCATTAGCCAAAATATTGCCCATGGTAATCTTTCAGATAAATACAGTTTTATAGCAAATATGGTATCGTTTTTGCTCTGTTAGAAGCTCATCTCCATTAGAAGTCGGTGCATATACCTTAAACCCAAAAGTGCATTTGTTAAACCTGTAATTTATTTAAATTTATGCGCTACTATATGTAATATAACATTGTATGCAAATTAACTGTTTTTGCTGTGCGTAGTAAGTGTTTTCTTCATAAATTGATTCTTTTATGTGACATCACTTTGAAATTGAACAAGGAGGGAGGGCAGAAAAAAAAAACAAGTTCAATTAATTATACAACACAAAATTCGAATAAATATTACAGCAAGTCTCAGAGGTATTAGGCCAGCCAATTTGCAAACTCGCCAACTAACTGGCTAACTGCTTGGGTTTTGACTGAACTGATGGTTTTTGATTATCGCTGACAAAGACTTGTGGCTACGTCCACTGTGGTTGAGTCTTATTGCAGTAGCCTGGCACCTGTCTAAGATTCGAAAGCAATTAGCCAATTCGCTAACAAGTTTGCAAATTGGTTGCCCAAATACTTCTGAGACTGCTGTAAAATATACATTACATTAAGGATCAAAAACTAATTTTTTGCAGTTTTATGGTACCAATTAACAGTAGGTTCCAATCAATTACTTCAGTTTCGTTTTTTCAACACCTTTCACACGCTGACCTAATGTACAGATGGATATAATTCACTTCAGGAGTGACTTACAACATTACCACACTAATGAGAAATGCAGCTTGATAGACAAATGTCCAGAAAAAAAATAATCATTTTTTTCTGAAAGATTGTTTTGTCGAACAGAACAGAAAAAATATGTTGTGAAATTTCCTGTAAAAATGTACTTTGCAGGTTAATGTTCCTGGGTGACCTCGTTCGCATACATATTTTTTTCTTCAAAATTTGAAAACCTAGGATCATTTTTACACACAACATAATTAAACGCATTCATTATTCACTGGGTTTTAATTTTGCTATTTTCGCTAATAAGTAAAATCCACTAACGCTAAGTTGAATCTACATGAACATGTAAAAAAATAATAAAACGCATTGTTTCCCAGACAAATTACTGGAATTTAAACATTATGATCAAAACATCAAAATAGAAAATTAAATGTCAGTGAAAATAAATGATTTTACAGTATCATCAATTTTATATAAAAGTAAATATAAAGCAATAGTTTACTGCAGGACATCAATTTGTTTTGTGTTTAGTTCATAATGAGAGTACTATTGACTGCTTAAATTTCAAAATTGCTAAATGTGGCAGTAACGAATATTTCACCAGGAGTTTATTTGAATGCCTTCAAATTATTAAATCATATCTTGTGACGAAAATATTACATTTCACTGCATATTGTCTCTGATACATATCCTGGGGAATATAAAGTCTTACTAAATTTAATAATTAACCCTCTGGTAAACAAAAATTCACTTGAAAAATTAGCACTCTGCTGTAAGTATTTGCGAGCAATTAGCAATTTTTTGTGATTTTACATTGAAGTCGTACATGTGTATTGAATGGATGTGCTTAATATCCGACTTCTCCTGCCTGCCAATCCTAGATTGTATTGTATTGTAGATTACAATATTCATGATCCTGCTCTAAGCACAGCATTTATTTTTTTTCTGAATTTCAGAAAGAAGAATTCAATTTTCATGCAAAAATAAGTTAATTTTGTTTATGTGCCCAACATTTGTTACACTATTGTGTGATGTTTACCTTCAAAAAAACAAAAATACAAAAAACAAAACAAAAAATGAACAAGATGATGTTCTTATTTGTTTGTAGGCTTGTTGCCAAAACCACACAGTTTATTATGTTTGGCCTCGCCGGATAATATAATGTGTGTCAACTGACATTAACAGTATTTATATCATCAACCCTTTGAAGTCCTTTTGTCACAAAAAATGTACTAGCATAATCTTTTCTAAATATTTCTATCAATATTTTTATTTTCATCAAAGCCTGTAGCCAAAGTGAAATTATGTTTGGTTCAAAATTAACAAATTTAAATGAAAATATTCATAATCTTTAAAAGATTAATATGGTGACCTTCGATAAATGTACCATTTCTTTTTTTGATTGCCTAAAAATAAAAGTATGAAAAACGGCATGAATAATATTAAATTTGTGCTTGTTTGGATTTTACAAAGTAAATTAATTTTGATGAAACATATTACGATGTGAAGTTGCACATGTTGATCATGATTGGTGTGGTTCTGCACTGAATAATGTGCTGTAGAAATAAGTCAGAGCAAAATAAATTTAACAGTAAATGCATTTTAACCCATATTTTGTATGTTAATCCCACCTATCAGAAATAAGTGAAACAAAATGAAAATTGAAATGATGTACTTTTAAACTGTAAATTTTCCGCGATTGAATTAAGTTGTAAATCATAAGAAATTATTATTCCTAAAATTAAAATTAAAATTATTTGTAACAGAAATTGGGTGAAATAGTATAGACTAATGTTGTGTAAAAACCTATTAAATGCTATTTGACATGCATGTTTTGTCAAAATCATTTCAACTATATTTTGTGCAAGTGATCGGTAATGCATTATGAGATTAGTTTTTTTGTGGTATCAATAGCTACCCAAAAATCGTGTTAACCCATTATAGAAGCAAGTACAATGTTGTTTACACTTTTTTTGTATCTTCCTGGTATCATCAATTTGTGCTATCAATGCTCTTATACGACAAACCCAATTTGCAGATCACAATTCCTGTGGTTTATTGATGTCTTCTTTCCCCTTCTTTATCCCCTTTTCAGTTAATGGTGTACCATGTAAGTTTACCGTAGATGATGATAAATGTAGTAGTGTGATGTCTTTCCTTCCTTTTTGTGGGAATTCCAGTTATATCACATAAACAAATCAAAGAACACAAGTTAAATCTTCTTTTCTTGCAATCATTTCTACATTTCGTATGTGTGTAAAAATAAAGTCTGTCATCTGTCATTTGCTGTTTAACTTGAAGCCAGTACTTACGTGTACGAATTGGAACCTTGTCTATTTAAACAACATGATTCCTTACACCAATCTATGTTATTTTGACACAACAGAAACACTTTCCACTGAAGGGTGGAAAGATCTACTACAGTAGTATTCAATATTGAAATTTCCTTTCCTGGTGTGCAAATAGCTGGAATTCTGACTTGTGTCCTTTTCCTGTGCATGTGCAGTGTATTGATCCTCAGCTGTTGATCCTATCCATGTGAGCATATTAGCCTAACTTCATTCTGTGATATTCTAAAAAAAACAACAACATTGGTCTCTGCCAATTGTGTGGGCTCAGTGCTGTAACTTTTTTAGAATTTTCTGATGCCAATTCAATAAATTATGAAGTCAGTTAAAATGTTTTTGGTTGTTTGATGCAGAGAGTTTCAGTGCACAAATTATCATATGGCTAACATTTGTGATGACAAAAATATAAATATTGAAAAAAAAAAATCTAACTCTGTGTTGCTTTAGTATACTGCTTGCTTTCTGTAGCCCTGCCATTGCCAACTTATGTATCTTAACCCACAATGTACACTTGTGCTAATTCTGTTGCATCCTTTGAGTTTCCTTCAAAATTTTTACAGTCTTAAATTTCACCACTAATTTAAAATTAACTTCAACATTTGTGAAAAATAGAAATACGTAGATGGTAGGCATGTTGTATTTAAGGCATGCACATTATGGGCTTGAGATTGAGAACACATTTGTCATTTTCATGTTGAAACATATGCTCTTGATTTGCTTTTATTTAAAACTTTACTTTCTCATTTTGAATAAAAACAGAAATTTGCAATTATTTCCAATTTGGATATCAAAACTATTATTAATATCCTGACTGAAAATAATTTCCAAATTACTGTTATTATTGAGAATTTTGTTGAGCTCAGGACATTACTAGTATTTTTTGGCTAAAACTGTACGCCTGGTCAGCCAATTGCAAAATTGTTGAAGGTACATGTTTGGCTTGTTCAATTACTTCATACTTGGCTGTTTGTGTTGATTAAAACTCCATACATGTGTATTTCTGAAGGTCCTCCATCAGCTAGATCGTCGGCTGCTCCATCTCCCGTACCAAGCGGTCGATATGACGCACTTGAAGGAGGAACTCCATATCAACCTGGTTACGGTAAGTTACCTTTGTGTTTAAAAAATCACAACCAATAATTTTGATAATTTTAACATTAATCTTTTATATGTATGTATGTATGTATGTATGTATGAAGTGTTTTGCACTCTAGTTAGAAAAATATGGTGTAATGTTTGGTCTAATTGCAAGTGAGTACACTAAATAAATTAGGGGCTATGTGTATACATGTATATGCATACACATATGTGGACAGAGAAATGAAGACACGACTACATAAGTAAAGTAGATTCTACAGTACTGTTTCGTAAGGTACATTGAGTACCTCACTCATCAGGAGTTATACTTTTTGATATTCTCGTATATCTCATATATACCTCTCAATATATTATCTGGAATTACAGCTACTCCACCAAGATCTGGTCCTCCTAGTAGGCAGTCTTCAGTAGGCCCACCTAGCAGTCCTCAAGTTGGCCCTCCTACTGGGCAACCACCAATGATGCCAAATCAACCAAGTGGGCCTGGACAACATACAAGACCCCCTAGCTCCCAACCAATGACACCACCAGTACCTCAGACAGGATATGCTAGTGGGCCGCCAACTGGACCATCTCCTGGAGGAAGGCCACCAGTGACAGTACCAGGACCTCCTATGGCTGGGGCACCACCAACATCCATGTTAGCACCTGGTCCTCCAATGGCTGGTGCGCCACCATCATCTATGTCGGCCCCAGGTCCTCCAATGGCTAGTCAACCTCCATCGTCCATGCCTGTACCAGGTCCTCCAATGGCTGGTCAACCGCCATCATCCATGTCAGTACCCGGTCCACCAATTGGAAGAGGAACACCCATGTCAACACCAGGACCACCCCCAGTTATGGCGCCACCAATGTATGCCCCTCCAATTGGCGGAGGACAGAATTTCGCAGGACAGGGTCCCCCAATGAATGCTGGACCACCAACATCCATGTCAAGTCCACCAACTCAAGATATGTCTGGCCGAGAAAGTGGCTTTCCAGGACGGAGGGCATATCCACAGTATCCAACACAACCAAGTCAAATGAGTGGACAGCCGCCACTGATGGATGGACAGCCTGCAATGAATGATATGTATAATCAACCTAGACAACAAATGCCACCAACAGTAAGTGAAATCTATGTGTACTCTTTTCGAACTGTTTACAGTGTATTCTCTTCTGCATACGTAAACCACCTGAAAATGTCAAGTTTCACCAAACATGCTTTGCTTTCTTGGAATTTTAACATCAGTATACTTGTTTCTCCACAGGGTAGTGGACCTTTAACAAATGCACAGCCTTTCAATCAGCAAGCCCCAAACCAATATCCAAATAATTTATCTAGCAGTATGGGCAAACTAAATATTCAACAAGGCGACACAAGGCCTATCAATTTATTGCAAAATAGGCATATTTTACCAACCACTTTAGTAGAAGCCCCCAAACCTAATCTTAGTCCAGAATTAAAGAAATTGTGCTGTAATCCCGAGTAAGTACTGTGTTTTATAATATTTTACACATTTTCTCTTTCATACCTTCACAATTTTGGGTTGCTATGTTGCTGAGCATGTGTCAAATGCTATTCTGCTAGTCTTCCCTCTCAGCAAATTTTGTCCTGAGAAATATTGTCAAAAACCACCTTGATTCAAGTGTATTTCTAAAAATAAAACAGGAAGCATTTTTTTTAGCTCCGTTGTCGACTTGTCAAGTGGGGCTTGTCATACGAGTCTGCATCAACTTTTTACTTTTTTGACTTCTTTTTGAAAACTTCAAGTCTGATTGCTTTTAAAATTGGTGTATGTGTATCTTGGGTAGATCTCTTTCTTAAATATGTTAATTTTGTGATATCTTTAGTTCTCTGATTTTGATCAATATTTTTGGTAAAAAGTGATATCTTCAATTCTTGTTAAAAACAGCAAATCTGATTTATATGATATTATACATATAGGTACCTCAGGTAGACCTCTCTTAGATCTTCAATTCTGTAATTGAAATGTGCATTGCTAACAGCAGAGCTATCTCAGCAGAGAGGCTGCTTGATATATTTTACGTCCTTCCCGAGTTGGCTTGGATACAAGTTACTTCATATTTGACCGAATTAAACATTTAGAGTTATTGTCAAAATAAATAATGGGCATGTTCTGATAACATTCCTAATGCTTTGAAATAAGATGCAGCTATTCTGAATGCAGTTGATGAACTCGAGTAGAATTCTTGATCAAATTGTTTTATATGCAGTGTAATAATGTGCAATTGTTTTAATGCCTCAGTTGAAGGGCATTGTGTTAAATATTCATCTTGATATCCATGTGATACATGTTGATGATCTAATTCCATTTGAGTTTCATGCACATGTTGGGCAAATTTGTTCTGTCCAACGCCATGGATAAAAGTTTGATTATTGAAACACAAATGAGCCTATTATTCAAAAAGGCATAAAATGTATTTATAAAAATGTACGTTTGCCCTGCAATGTTGTGACCATCTGACAATTTGTATGACTTTAAATACATGATCTTCATCGCACACCTGACCTAATACAGTCACATAAAAAGTGTTAAAATACAATTGTTTACTTACATTGACCATCATTTTTTTGAAATATTTGTGTCGTGAATCTATCTGAGAATAGTAATTTATATCAAAAACGTTTCTAAATTCAAGCTAAAATTAATTTTATCATCAAGATATTCATTAATGTATCTTCTGGTTGTTTGTTTACAGCATATTTCGTTGTACATTATCATCAATACCACAAACCCAACAGTTATTAAATAAATCAAAATTACCATTAGGAGTTTTAATTCATCCATTTAAAGACTTAACAGTAAGTAGAATTTATTAAGTATGTTTTAATCTTTGCATCTTCCAATTTATTCCTAATCACAATTCTCTCATTATAATGAAGATGATTTATATAGTCATGAGAAAATAGGTTTATATCTATCAATCCTTGTTTTTTATATTACATTTGTTCCTGATTAGATGACAATATGAGTATTTCATGCTCTACCTTATTCTTCAGACTTAGTGCCCAGGGTACTCAACTCCAAAAACTATCTCCGGAAGATGCATTTTACGCCTTTCACGATCGTAAACAGGTCATGTCAAATTGTAGTTTATTCATTCACATCCCATTTACGATAGTCACAATGGAAACTGTAGTTATTTGGAAAAGTAATTTGATGTTCAATGACCAGGTTTTGGGGCGTTTTGGAAGGGGTGGATGGAAGGAATCTTCCTGGCTTAGTTGATCATGGACGCTAAATCTGACAAGTACAGTATGACATAATTTCTGGTGTGACATTGGGACGTATAGTTGCATAAGACGCCATCTTGATTATGTCAGCGATAAATATTTCTAATTATAGCCCCAAACCATGTCAAAACTTAAACAAAAACACAACACAGACCTTGTCCTACCTTCCCTCCCTCTCGAACTGTATATTCTTAATTACCTCTTTTGCAAGACAACTACATACCCCCATTTACACAAATCTTTATTTATGTGTTCATGTCATGTACATCATGTCACATAATTGTTTGAATTTGGTTGCAGCATTTACCAGTAATACAGTCAAGTGTAATCGTGAGGTGTAGATCATGTCGAACGTATATTAATCCATTCGTCAGCTTTGTAGACCACAGAAGATGGAAGTGTAATCTTTGTTATAGGATAAACGATTGTAAGTATTTGTATACCACATTTAGACATCTATACATGGTTTCACATTGGAAAATAAGATTTTACTTTTAGGCTTTTAAATTTTGTGTGTGAACGTGAATAGTCCTCTGATCTTGTTTATTCGACAAACAAAATTTCGGCATCACATCATTGCTCTTATAAGCTGGTAGTTTTATTACCCCCTACGAGTGCCAGATATTTTTCTCTCCCAAAATTCAGTGCAAATATTTCCACTTTTCATGAAATTTTCACTAAATTTCATAATCGCCATAGACTATACAATTTCTGTTATTGTTTTTAGTTTTTGATAAAAAGTTTAATTTTATTACCATTTCATGCGAGGATGAGCAGACTGTACTTGACAATGACGCTGGAAATGATGTTAGGATGATAAATACAAACACAAACAAACTTTTGTATTGTATTACAGCATGTATGAATTCATGCACATAGGTCTGTTTTAAATTTGCTGTAATTTGGTTCATGGAGAATCATCATTTCCAATAATTTGCACATTTTCAAATCATTTAATATTTCACACAATAGTCCCAATAAAACTTCATGAACAATCTAAAAGTGTAATTTTTAAGGAATTAATAAAAAAGACAGAATATGATAATATGCAGGGTGGTTTATTTTTAAGGAATTCAACACAAGACTTTATAGTCTATCATGGGTGGTCAAATGGTGATGTGAATGTCGGCTAGTTTTGACATACTGGGTTTAGGTGTATTTGTGTTCATTTTCTGTAGTACCTGAAGAGTTCAACTTTGACCCGGTTACACGGACATATGGTGAACCACAGAGAAGGCCAGAAATCAAATCAGCAACAATTGAATTTATAGCACCATCAGAATACATGGTAAGAAGTACTGTATGTAACTGTTGCATGGCAACTTGCGCTATTCACATACTTGCTGTATGTCCCACTAATTGCCAATGGATATGTTTATTAATAAGTAGATCAACTCAAATAATCTTTATTATTTACGTATTACTTGTACATGGTTGACCAGAATTTCCCAACAAATAGTGAAATAAATGACCAGTTTGGCTAATAGTTTTTCATCTGAGAGACCATGCCTATGCGTCAATAAACCAGTTGATTTTTAGCCTCAATACTGAAAATAATAAATAATAATAACTGTTAAAATAGGATCAGAATATCACATTTTTGCTTCAAGGCAGTTAATTTCCTACTATTATACATTTGCTGGATTATATATTGGCAAATGTTTACATCAAGGTTTGCGATCCCACGCATGTACATGTAGGTGTTGATCCTAACTATTTCTATGTAAAGAACTAAAAATAAAAACTGTAACGATACTGCAATGATGTTATTATTATCTGTCAATCCACTGAACATTACAATGTTGTCATAATCAAATTCTGCTGAGCAGTGTCGACATTTATAATCTTGTTTCTCTCAAAAATAAACTCTTATGAGCGAGTCTATGAAGATGGGTCTGAACTGTGTTTCATTTCATTTTCCTGGTACTCTTCTGCCAGGCCCTCTATTTTTTAGGGCAAGTTTTTGTCATCCCAAAATAATCAGATACACTTCTTTAGTTTTCTATGTTAATACCATCTTTGTCTTACTTTTTTTTTAGCTTCGGCCTCCGCAACCAGCTGTATATCTTTTTATGTTTGATGTGTCGTTTAATGCGGTAGAGTCAGGTTATTTGTCAGTGGCAAGTCAAGTGCTATTAGAGGAATTAGACAAGCTGCCTGGCGATGCACGTACCATGATAGGTTTTATTACGTATGATAGTACATTACATTTCTATAACTTGCAAGAAGGGCTTTCAAGGCCATCAATGATGGTAGTTTCTGACATTGAAGGTGAGTATATTATTTTTATCTTGTAAACTTTTAGTGCATAATACAGTGTTAATAAGTTCTGGTCAAGGAGGGAGCGAGGGGTTCTATCCCCATAACCAGCGCTCATTCAGCAGTATAAACATATGTAGATTCTGCCCAAACCTCAAAACGATGTTTGAAAAAATGGTATTCCACAGCGATAACAACTCCTGTCAAAGAGTAGCTGATACAATGAGTTGAATTAATAGTTGAGATGAGGAAATAAAAATGTACAATACATTCTCATTGTGTATGTTTATTTCTGGTGTATTTATGATTGTCACTGCAATGATGCTATTACTATCTGTCAATCCACTGAATATTATGTTGTACCAATTCTAGTCTGAGCAGTGCTTAATCTATTCATTGATGTATCATTTTACAAAGTTTATTTACATACATCTACAAACCATGATGGTGTCACCAAAACATTGATATGTTAGTGACACTTATCTTCTGTTTTTAGATATTTTCTTACCATGTCCGAATGATTTAATTGTTAACCTTCAAGAAAGCAAAGAGGTAAGTAAGGCTTTGACAATTGAAGACCAAAGGCTCTTAATTTATTCCAACACACCCCCTGGTATGCATGTATAGAGTTGGCATTCATAAGACAATCTGAACAATAAAATTAATGTAATCGACACCATCATGCATATGATCCTGAGATCGTTTCCATGGTGACAATTATTTTGGCAGGCATTTTGAATTGAAGTTTTTTAGATTGGTTGAGGGTGGGGCAATATTTTTCCCGGTTAAAACTGTAATATAATTGTTGAATACCATTTGATTTCCTGTGATAAACTATATAGAATCTATAGTAAAATACTAGTGTCAGAATTAAGCACATTATAATAAATCTGTTCTCTTTTTGTAGTTAGTTCAGGAGTTATTAAATCAGTTACCAACCATGTTTCAAGGCAATAAAGAAACTCAGAGTGCATTGGGTCCAGCGCTTCAGGCGGCACATAAACTCATGGTAAGTGGGACATCATCTTTGCAAAGATACAGCATAGATACGACTTTGGGCGGCCCATGAATTCATGGTAAAGTGGGACTTCGTCTTACAGCATAGAAGCGGCTCTTGTTTGTATCTAACTGTATTTTTATTGCAGTCACCTGTTGGCGGCAGAGTTACAGTCTTCCAGACTTGTTTACCATCAGTTGGACCTGGGACTCTGCAAGCGAGAGAAGATTTGGGTCAAAGGGGTAACTCCAAGGATATACCGAATCTTGGTCCAGCAACTGATTTCTACAAAAAGATGTCTCTAGACTGTTCTGCCCAACAGATTGCGGTGGATCTTTTCATATTTGCTAATAGTTATATAGATGTTGCCTCCCTTTGTAAGTATTATCTGCATTGTCTGTAGACCAAATGCATGACCCCTGAAGGTCACACATACTGGAACTTGGGGGGGGGGGGGGTTAAGGTTTTTGTAGGGTAAGGTTTTAACAAATTCTGTTCCAGTGCCATATCCGTCCTGTACAATCATGTTCAAAATTTATATATACTTCATATTGCACATGTGCCCGTATATTTGTTTTTCGAATGTTACTAAAATCAAGCATTTCTGACATTTCGAAGCCGGATCTCCATCATGTATGAATCTTGATGAACAGGATTTTGTTTTTCTGATCAGATTCAAAATGGCTGATTGACAGCCATTTGTTTAAACAATGCATTTAGAATCCATATCTCTGACATTTTTACCATTCATGTCCGAATTAGATTACGATAAACAAAACTATATTCCTTAAACTTGATAACCAGGGCATATAAGGCATGTATTTGCTGTATCAGTAAAATACGACTCGTTTTGACCTTGTATACATCTTTATTACTATTTTATGAGATAAGAGAATATGAACAATTTCATTGCAGCATGTGTTTCCAAGTATTCTGGAGGTAGTGTGTCATATTACCCAGCATTCCATATGGTGAGGACACCGGCTGAAGTTGAACGTTTTGAGAATGATTTTAAACGATATATTACAAGAAAGATCGGCTTTGAAGCTGTCATGAGAATAAGATGTACTAAAGGTATTTAAATCTAAATTGTTTTATTTTATTTTCCATAATTTGTTTCTTAAAAACTGACTGTAGATAATAATAATTAATGAAACTAATAATATTTAACAAACTGTCTGATTTGTTTTCAGGTCTTAGTATACATACATTCCATGGTAATTTCTTTGTACGATCAACTGATTTATTATCGCTACCGAATATCAATCCTGATGCAGGATTTGCTATGCAAGTATCCATAGAGGACCCGTTAAATGATTCCCCTCTCGCTTGTTTTCAAGCAGCTTTACTTTATACAAGTAGCAAAGGTAAGAATAATCAGCATATTGAATAAGTACTGTAAAACCTGTATTAGAAACCATGGCTTCTATTAAAATGATACAATGCAACAGAAGGGATGCGGCTTCTATTAGAGCATCTACACATATGAGAAATGATGAATTTTTGGTTCTCAATTCTTCAAAAGAATAGATGCAAACTTCTATTAGAGATGCGGATTCTATATACAAATTTTACGGTACTTTGACAGCTGGAACGCTTCACTATTTTTGATTGTCTTCATTTTTCATGCCAAAATTTTAGTGCAACTTTTTGCACATTTGGTTTTGGAGCAAATGCAATTTTCTTCCATGTTCTTTAGGTCTTAAATTATTTTGTCACTTAAATTAATTTGAAAGATTATTCAGTTATGAGTAATTTTGCCAAAAATAATCAAATCTGAAAGTCAGTGTTCGCGAGTTTTATTGATCTAAACCTGACACATTGCACCACTTATTTGTTGTTATTATAACAATAATTTCTGTCATGCGTTGTTGTTGGAATTCTGCTTCTAGAGTGTGCAACACAACATGTTTAACGTTCATTTGGATGTTATGGTAACATTAGTAAAATAGTCCTTCTCATAGTCTCAGTGGGAAATGCTTCAAATGGAATATTGATTTTGTAATATAGTCCATCTTAGATCGCCAAACAGAGAATCCAGCATGTGTTTTGGTCACTAGATTCTATTACAATCGAAGCTCCAGAACTGCTTAGTGATGTTCGACTATTGGCAAGACCGATATCTTAAATATGTTAATTGGATTACATAACTTGACTTGTGAATTGAATTGTGGATCAATTCAAAATATGATTATGCACTTGTATGTTTCAGGTGAGCGGCGGATTCGAGTGCATACGATGTGTTTACCAGTTACAAATCAAATAACTGAAGTCTATGCGGGAGCTGATCAACAAGGTATAATTGGTTTACTTGGAAAGATGGGTGAGTATTCCCTTTATGTAATTGTTATTCCATGAATCACAAATTGATAGCTTGTTGTGACAGTCTAATATGTGCTTACTAAAGTTTGTTCGATATGGCACGCAGTTTTCCTTTTAAAGTAAGGCTGGTGTTTGAAATTGAATTGAATAATGTTCAAGTAACAAAAGATGACAATGATAAAGCAACTAATTAGAGTACCCCTTTTATCGCATGTAAAGCAACTAATTAGAGTACCCCTTATATCGCATGTAGTTCACTCTCTTCATTGCTGTGTGGAATGTGAAACCGTTCAGTTGATTGATTGATTATTTGATACATTGCACGATTCATAGCTTTCTATAAACAACAAACCTGTCACAGATTGATTGTCCAAGTGTTGATGTTAGTTTTGACATATTAGTTTGTGAGACATCTAAATTCATTAATTGAAATGAACTGTAAAAAACAGCTGATTAGCTGATTGGATTCACACATTACTTTGATATATCATTAATGTCTTGTTTATGTTTGCTTTACAGCCGTTGATAGGACATTGACTGCATCCATTGTGGATGCCAGAGATGCATTGGTTAATGTTTGCATCGATTCAATGACTTGTTTCAAAGGAACACTAACTACTGGGCAGACAATTGGAACTCTGATGTGTCCATACTCATTGAGACTTTTGTCGCTTTATGTACTAGCATTGTTAAAAAGTGTGAGTAGAAAACTTACTGCAGTGCTTTCACTTGATTTCAAGTCAATTTTATATATTTATTGAAGGGGGCAAGGGGGGAAAGCTGGTACAGGTTATAGGAAATAAAAAGGGTATTTTGCGTTTTTACAGGAAATAAAATAAAAGTTCCATTTACAGTAAAAAGCAGATGAAGCAAATTTCATTTTACATTTTTGTAATATATTTGATAATTTGTGTTTTAGAATCAAAATTGGAAATTGCTTAAAAATTACGACATTTAATTTAATGCTCACAAAACATACGATCTTTGTACAAATTATTGGCAAATAAAATAGCTGATTACATTTTACATCTTGCCCAAGTCTACAAATTTAAGTTTTTTATTTATTTATATTACTTTATTACAAAAATAAAAACAATTAACTACAGCTTACAAAATACCCCTCTTTATTGTCTTACTTGGGTTCTCATGGTGTTGATGTTTTGCTTGTTTGCCTTCACTTTTATGCTAATTCATGGTCTACCAAGCTTTCACAGTAACACCTGGCTTTGGCCATTGATGAACTCAAATATTTTATTTTATTAAAAAAAAAAATCCAAAACAAACACAAGCTTGTATGCAAGTCTAGAACCACTTGTGTCATTTCAATTAAACTTGGTACGTAGGTGTTCTGAGAACACAGATCTGATTCGGTTTCAAATTATTGCATATTAATTAATACCTAATGTACATTAATTACCCAATTTCTAGGAATTCAACAGATATCCTAAGAACTATTCATCAGATTTCAATAAAACCACATACCTGATATGTTCTGTGTTGAAATCCATACATTAAATATTCGACTTGCATAATAATTTATGTTGTATGTATTTTCATATAACAGTCATCTTTCAAGCTCGGTCGCTCAGTACGACTTGATGAACGTGTTTATGCAATGGACTCGCATAATAGTTTATATTGTATGTATTTTCATATTTCAGTCATCTTTCAAGCTTGGTAGCTCAGTACGACTTGATGAACGTGTTTATGCAATGGACATGTTCAAGTACCAACCACTGATGTATGGAATGCTGTTACTGCATCCAAATCTTTATGCTGTTCATGAACTCAATGATCAGGTAAGCAAACTTGCTACTCTACTAATTGCAATATTGTATTTAATAATTTAGAAGTGCATTTCCAATTTAAGCGCACATAATCCAAATAATTGTAGTTATTGTAATCTGGATTATTGCTCGGGCACCAGCCATGGTGTAGTGCGGATGAAATGCATTAATATGATTTGAGCAATTTTGTCATTTTTTTAATAATTAAATATGTGGAAATGTCTTTTATTAGCTCCGCTGTCGACTTTGTCGAGCGGAGCTTATCATATGCGTCATTGTCCGTGTCAACTTTTTAGCTCCGCTGTTGACTTTGTCGAGCGGAGCTTATCATGGTGAATATTTTTGTCATTTTTGGTAAAAAGTGATATTTTCGACTTCTTGTTAAAAACCGCAAGTGCAATTGCTTTAATATTACATATATAGGTACTACATGTGGACCTCTCTCAGATTTGTTCATTTTGTAATGATATCTTTAATTCTCTAATTTTGGTGAATATTTTTGTCATTTTTGGTAAAAAGTGATATTTTCGACTTCTTGTTAAAAACCGCAAGTGCAATTGCTTTGATACTACATATATAGGTACTACATGTGAACCTCTCTCAGATTTATTCATTTCGTGATGATATCTTCAATTCTCTAATTTTGGTGAATATTTTTGTCATTTTTGGTAAAAAGTGATATTTTTGACTTCTTGTTAAAAACCGCAAGTCCGATTGCTTTGATATTACATATATAGGTACTACACGTGGACCTTTCTCAGATTTGTTCATTTTGTGATGATATCTTCAATTCTCTAATTAATTTATTTTGGTGAATATTTTTGTAATTTTTGGTAAAAAGTGATATTTTCGACTTCTTGTTAAAAACTGTAAGTCCGATTGCTTTGATACTATTCATATTGTTCATTTTCTAATGATGTCTTCAGTTCTTTAATTGAAATGTGCATTGCTAACAGCGGAGCTATCTCAGCCGATAGGCTGCTTGTTTCACATGAGGTAAATAATTTCCGCGTAACTACGGGAGTCTCGCCACACTTGCACAAACTTGTCCTGTCCTTGTCCTTCGACAATGTCGGCACATTCGTAGGACTGTCACCCCCATGGATCGAATGGTATTGTCCTATTGTTAAACGCTAACCAAAATTAGTAAACAACATGGCGGACTCGACTCGCCGGAATGCCCGGGTGTCGATCATAAAAAGTGTGGATAGCTGCTCGAATTCGCCACCCCAGTTCAAATTATGAGCATAAACGAATATTATACAGTACAAGGATTGCTGCCGCTGCCCCGCGCGTTAGGTATTCTTCCCTGTTCGCCTCCGCGCGTGCCCGGACACTCCCTCGCGTGTCCGGGCGTTAAATAGTAGGACCCAAGTAGACCTCTCTCAGATTTCTGTATTTTCCAATGATATCTTCAGTTCTTTAATTGAAATGTGCATTACTAACAGCTGAACTATCTCAGCTGAGAGGCTACTTGTTAAAATATTAGTTATTTTGACCACTACTGTATGCATGCTAGCTGCTTATTGTTCATGTGCTAGTCACATATTCAGTAAAGAGCATATGTTGTTACAAAACATGCATAGTTGTAATCTTTTACATCTAAGCTTTCAGAAGATGTATACATATTACCGTAAAATCTGTATTAGAAGCCGCATCCCTAATAGAAGTCGCACCCATTCATTTTGAATATTTGAGAACCAAAAATTCATCATTTCTCATATGTGTAGATACCGGTACTCTAATAGAAGCCCCATCCCCTGTGTTGTATTGTACCATTTTAATAGAAGCCGCAGCTTCTAATACAGATTTTATAGTATTATTATTACAATAATCAATATACTCAATAAAATAATAAAAAATTCTGTTTGTATTTCACTAGGGTGCAATTTCCCATGACGATCAAACCATTTGCCAGCCTCCAATTTTGTCGCTATCGTCTGAACATCTGTATAAAAATGGTGCATATTTAATGGATAGAAGCGATGCTTTGTATTTATACGTTATGAGGGATGTGTCGCAGGAGTTTCTTAACTCTGTACTAGACGTGCCTGATTTCCAGTCGATACCAGAACCAATGGTAA